GACCAATCAGGAAAGTTATTTTTGTGAGAAAGAAGAAAAATGTCACCAAAAAGGGTCAGCAGATAACCCTATTGGGCTGAAAATAACTGCCCGGCTGGCAGACCGGGGGGCAGGGAATGGGCGGAGGGCGAGAGACGTAATGCCGGGCTCCGAGGGAGCTCCAGCTGAGCGAAGCCCTGGGGATGAGGAAACTGGCCTAATTTGGGAACATGAGCCCAGCAGCATTTCTGAGATTCCTTCGAGAGAATCTGGCTAACTTTCAGTTCTGAGCCCTTGGAGGAACTCCGAAGGGATGGGGGGAGGGGAAGGGAACAGCTGTGACTCAAACGCCGCCCTAGACAAGTGCATGAACAAGGGTGATGAAGTGAGAAAGGACTCCCTCTCCGAAAGGGCTCCGGGAGTGAGAATAACCCCAAATCTCTCCTCTCTCCAAAGGCCTTTCTCTACAGGGAGGTCTGTGCATCGACCTAGCTAGAAGGTAGGAGAGATTTGGTGGCGGTTAAGCACCTGGCCAGCATTGAAGACACTAGAGTGGGAGGTTGGCTAAACGACTGGAAAAGTCACCCAGCATCAAAGTCTCAGTGTCTTTAGCTAAGATCAGATAACAACAGTGCCTACCTCGTGAGCTACTATAAAGTTTAAATAGGGTATTACAGGTAATGAACAGAGAGGCAGCTGCTGTTCCAACATCAGCTAAAATCATTATTATTAAAAGGACAATCTGCAAAAGGAAAGTGAAGTCACAAAGAGGCCTACAGCCAAAAGAGAAATGGCTCACCCAAAAGAGGCCAGTGCTAGAGAGCATGTGCCCAAGATTACTCTTCTCCAACCTCAGTGTATGACAGCATAACTTTGTGACAGAAATGTCGAGTCTCTTCTTCAAGGAGTTATATGGAAGAGTTAGCATCACTTGCATTGTTAGGAGGTGTAAGTTCAAGCACAGAAATCCAGTTCTATTCTCAGAGCTGGTTTCCACAGAGAAAGTTACACGCAGTAGACAAGGGACACTCATCACAGAACCATCTTCCAGGAAAACTCTCAACAATGACCGTAATGCCAATCCAAAATGCTAACTGAAATAGGTGCCCAGTGACCCAAGCCTGCACTGTGACAGGTGGCCAAAAAAAGTCAAATTCAACACTAACAGACATGCAAGGACACCTGAAAGTCAATCCATCCTAGAAGAGGAGTTTGAAATGCAAATGGAAATAGAGCCAGGCAGATCCAACGTGAGTAAACCCGACCAGGTGCACTAAAGTAAGCAGTGGCCACCCGGAGCGGGCAGGCTACACGCAAGCGAGCACTGTCACCAGCTCCGGACAACTGCCGCCACGGGGGAGGGCCAGCCCAGCACTCCCACTGTGCCACAACTTCTGATCTTAAAGAGAGGCCCAAAATCTGGATTTTCACATAGTTTCCTAATTTTGAATGATAGCAATCAAGTAAAAAAATAAGTAACTCTGTCCAGATCAAATGAGACATGACTGTATGCTAAATTCAGCCTGAAGACCACCAGTTTTCAACCTCAGCAGCGAGGGTCATGGCAAACTGAAAAAACACGTCGGAGCTCTAGGGAAATAATGGTCAGCTGTACACTGTGCATTCACATATCAGACTGTGTGAAGGGCTGCACATCTATTACCTCATCTTTTCTTTCTAGCCACCCTTGTGGAGTACCCACACTCCACAAGGAGTATGAAAGAGGGGTATTAATATCCCATTTAACCAATAAGAAAGCTGAGACTTAAAAAGGTTAACTAACAAGCTCGGTCAGCATCACAGAACTAACGTGTGAAAGAGCCAGGATTTCAGCCGGGCTGGTAGGACCCACCAGTACGACCCCATGACCCCCGCTGCCCAATGCACCCAGAAAGCACAGAAACTGCTTTGGACTCCTACTGGTCAACCTACGGAGAGAGGAGGAGCAGCCCTGAAGGGCCTTCCAAGTCGGCTCCAAAAGAGACCCAGGCTTACACCCTCCTTCTCTGCTGCCCTTTGCTAAAGACAGCAGAGCTCCGTGTGAATACTCATCTACCCTCTAGTTGATTGAATGAATGGACGTCTGCGCCATGCTGTTCAGGTTACTGACATGCTTTTAAATGAGTATTTCACTTAATCCCCACACAAACCTAACAGTACTATTACCACCATTTGACAGACAATAAAATGAAGGATTAGAGAGATTAGTGGACCAGTTCAAGATCCAAGCAATTAATTAACAAGAGTGTCACAAGCCCTGGGCTTCTGACGCAAAGTCCTGTGTTCTGTCTGTTCCAGCAGACCCCGTCTCTGCTTCCTTCACCAGGGCTTCCAACTCCACCACCTCACTCTAAAATAACTGCCTGAACTAATTCCTACTTAAATCTAAAGTAACTCCATTATGTCTGATAGCTCCTAGGTACCATATTTACGTTTTCATGAATAGCTTCATCCTCGAATATAGTCAGCAAGAGAACAAAAATAAATACATCAAGTAATACACTCGGAATGTAAATGGGCACACACACAAATATTGGGATCTAATTTTAGAAAGAAACAGCCAAAATGTCCCACACAGCACAGTGAGCATCTGGCCCCGGGGGAGGCTGCCCGAGCTGCTTTAAACCTCGACTAACCCAGAGAGAGAAGGAACCCTGGAGTCCTGACTGCATTTCACTGTCAGATGAACCAGTTGGGTGAAGGAGAGAATGACTTTTCATCATGTTCTCCCAGAAAAATGCTAATGCCCAGAGTAAAAAAAAAAAAAAGAAGGTGTCTCTGAGAAAATAACTAGGTACCCAGAAGGAATGAAACCCTAAAAGGTCCATCTGTGTGTGACTTTGGAGCTATGCACACAGTTCCCAGGACTGCTTCCTGCCTGGAAGCCGAGGGAGCCCCGGCTCGGTGGGTGCACAGTGCTTACTACCCCAGCCGAGGAGCTGATTTGGTGTGAGGGCCACACAGGGCTCCAAGGCCACCAGCAGTCATTCCAGGGCATCCTGGCCCATCACAAGCTCACTCACCCAGCCACACGGGTTCCAGCGCCCTCCACAATGAAGCACACTTGTCGTCAGTCGTCCTAACTGCCAACGACAACAAGAACGGAAGTTCCATCATGGCAGGGAATGTCGTCTCTTCTGTTCACGGAGATATGCCAGCCCCTAAAATGGCTCCTGCACACAGTAAGCTTCACTAAATATTTGCTGAATAAATAAATGATCTGGTATTGGAATAGCTCCTCCTAGAACCACAGTCTCAAGTAGCCAGAGGCCAAGAAGAAATTTCCATGAACCCAGTCATATGCTTGCCCATTTTCTCTTTAAAGACGTATACGACTGCAGTTCAAGCTTCTCGAGATCCAGGGTTGGGGCCAGTACTTCTTCTTTCACTGTCTCCCTACGTTACACCACCATCCCCCTGAACTGCGGGCCCACCCTTCACCCAGTGACAGCAGGACTCAGCCCCTGAGAGCGCCCGTCACACGCTACGCACTTCGCCCCTCATCCTCTGCAGTGCCATGCACGCCTGTTCTGTGCCAGGCGCTGGGATAAACAAAGGCGTACAGTCCATGGTGAGACCCAACCTCTGCCTTCCAGACTCACATCTAATGAGGGAGCCAGACACATAATGTCACAACACAATGTAATAAGACCTTTAATGGAGGTGCTATGGCCCAAGTCACAAACTGACAACCCTCAGTACGTGAGGGCCTAATCTAGGCCATACATCAATCTAATTCTTATAATTGCTAACCTCTAAAATGTGTTGCTTTCACATAAAATTTTAGACTGCAGAGTCCGAGGAGCTGGCAATACTGGGCCTGCATTCCCCATAGCACCGGTCGGCTCTGGCTATGTGGTGGTTACCCCTCCAGAAGGGACACGTGGCCTCTGGCTCCCACAATCCCCACTTGCTCTCTCCTACTGCCTGCAGGCAATGAGGCCAAGGGTCCGCTGCCAGCATTTCTGTATTGGCATGGTTGTATCTCAGACTACAGAGATGATCTCTACCTGCATTTCTACAATAAGAGAGGAAATGAAAATACATTGAAAGGGCCATGCGGAACACTTGAAGAAATGAAGAAAAACGTATTTCCTACAAAAATTTAGACTATTCCTATATATGTGATATGTAACTGAAGTGTGCCCGTGTCTCGCCCCCTGCATGCTGTGCTCGTGCGCCTGCCCGACCCACGAGGCTCCTCAGTGACAGCCCCTCATCTACTCTGAACCTTCCACAGGCCCACAACGTAGACAGCTGGGGAGCCGCGCCTCCTGCAGCCTGAGAACTCACTGTCCAGTGGCGGACAGAGACAGTGACAATTAGCAGAGAATGGGAGATGTTCTAGAACAGGTACCGTGGGGATTGAGAGCCCTATGTCAGTCTGGCGAAGAGCTGACACGGGGGTTAGCCTAAAGCTAACTCTTGAAAAGGGCACAGTTTTTCCAAACGGACAGAGGAGGGTGAAAAGAGGCTCTGACTAAACTGCCCAAAATAGTACCCTGGATTAAAAGCATTGCTCATCGGGCTTACCCACCCTCCTCAAAGAGGCTGGATCAATTCCCATAATTCCAGGCCGCTCAGGGGAAACGTTTCCAGGAAAGGAAGGCCAACTGATCCCCTTCCTGCCCAAAAGCTGCAGAAGGCGCAGGTCGCCAGTGAAAGCCCGCGTCCAGTTGTGTAGTGTAACTTTCTGTCGCCAGTGTGCCTCGCTGGCCTTATTCAGCAGAAATAAATCCTTGGATTTTGACTAGATTTTGAAACTTCCCAGTCCCTTTCTTAGCTAACTTAAGAAAGTTCTTCCCTGAGAATATAAAGCAATACACAGAAACTACTCTGGCATCAAAGATTAAATCGTTTCTTTTTCATTTTTAACTAACAGGACAAATGCCAAGGAAGAGAATTCCCAAATCAAGACAGGAGGAGCGCGGGCATTCAAGAGAAAACAGATGGCATACCGAGTCTTTGCTCATTAAGGAATCGCTAACTTTTAGCATTTCTTCCAATTTTTTAACACCCACCTCTCCAGTGAGAGTTGAAGAATTCTTGCCACTTAGGTGATTCTCGGCTTGAGCTGACTCCGGTTGAGCTCGGCGACCCATCTTGGCCCCCTAAAAGGAGAAATAGGGGCACTGCTGACTTAAACATCTTTGAGCCACTATGAGGACAAGAATTCTGGGACAGTAGACAAGAACTGAATTTATAAATACGTGGTGGAGGATGGGATTTGAGTAATTTGAATATTCTTAGAAAATGCTCCAAAACTTGAAAGCAACTGAGGTCAGTTCTATTGGGTTGGCCAAAGAGTCCGTTTAGTTTTTTCCATAAAATAAGACACATTTTCCATTTTCACTAATAACTATTGATTTGGATATTTTGAGTATTTCCCGTTTTTGGCTTCTACTGGGTAGAGTCCAGGGGTGCTGCTAAACATCTTCCAATGCATAAGACGGCCCCACAGCAAAAAAATTATTTGGCCCAAAGTATCAACAGCAACAAAAACTTCACAACCCCCACTTTTGACACATTTGAGCAGTCACAGCACCTCTCCCTGCGTAAATCTTTTCTTGTGTTTCAGTTGCATTTTTACCCTTCCTGAAATAATAAAGCATAGTACACTGAAAGTGTTGCGTATCTTCTTCCATCTTCAATATTAAAATGGCTGCACAAAAATTTGCCAATTTTGATGTTTTTTTCTAATTGCACACTGATAAGACAGCTGTCGTGATACAATGTAACAAAATTGTTTTAAATGGAGTTAAAGATAACTAAGAACTACTAGAGCCATCACACCGAAAAAATTAAACTAACTTTTTGGCTAACCCAATATTTGGTAGAAGACTAGGAAATTCATGGGTTAATGATCATAAGGCTTTTGTTTAACTGCCATAGATCATTTCCACCCAAAGCAAAGTAGCTAGAAATTCCTCTAGAATGGGAAGTGACCTCATGCCACAGTTTAAAGAGTTTGGTAAAGGCTCCCATGTTCCTATGCAGGATTTTAGGAAGACCTAATTTCAAAGCTGCAACTTGACATGGAAAGAGTTATCAAAAAGGAGTTTTGGGGATGCCCTGGCCAGTGTGGCTCAATTGGCTGGACTGCTGTACTATAAACCAAAAGGTTGTGGGTTCGATTCCCAGGCAAGGCACATACCTAGGTTGTGAGAAGCAACCAATTGATATTTCTCTCTCTCTCTCCATCGCTTCTCCTCTCTCTAAAGTCAATAAGCATGTCTTCAGATGAGGATAAAAAACAAATAAAAAGAAGTTTTGGAAAGAATTCCTCATTTCCATGGTAACTGCCCCCAGAGAAATACAGATAGCACTTGCTTTAACAGGCACACTATTTGGATTTCCATTTATGACAAGAAGAAATCTTTTACAAGAATGTTGAGACATTAGCTTTGGAAACCAGAACATTTCAAATGCTGAGTCATCGAATGAAACCCTCTGCAGGCTCTATATCTCGAACGCTTCCCAGCACATAAACAAAACTTAGGCAGACCAAGGGGTGGTAAAATACTTATCTATTCATTTATTAGCTTCAAAAGAGAAACAGGATACTTTTAGACCTGATTTGATATAGCTCCGTTTGATTCTCAGAAGAGAGACTAGGACTTTCACTCTACAGGTGGGGAAATTGGGGCCTAAGAAGGCCAATTAAGTGGCAGACATAAATCGAAGAGCAAAACCTTCTTGTCTTAAAATCCTGAGTCCTTCCCACTATCCTATGCTGGAATTTCAGTTTGAAGATGGTCTAAGAACTGACTGCACCCATACATTGAGAGGGGTTACATGGGAGCTGCATAAAAACCCTTATGGAGTGTTTTCATTTCAGATTTTAATCACTTAGGTTTCGGGTAAGATGGCAATAATCTCTCTGATAATAAGCAGCTCATTTTTTAAATCTTATTTATTTATTTTAAAGAGGGGAAGGGAGGGAGAGAGGGAGAGAAACATCAATGTGTGGTTGCCTCTTGTGCACCACCACCCACCCACCCCCAGTGGGAACCTGGCCTACAACCCAGGCATGCGCCCTGCCTGGGAATCAAACCAGCTACTCTTTGGTTCACACGCTGGTCCTCAATCTACTGAGCCACACCAGCCAGGGCAGCAGCTCGTTTTTTTTTCCCCAAGGCAGACAATTCCACCCCATTCACTTGTAGTTACCCCTTTCCACTGATCACAGCAGGACATCTAAACGTGGCATACCAATGCAGCAGTGGTGCTAAAACAAAAATTCAACGCTCTTGTCTCTAAATGCTGTCTATAGAAGGTTCCTCTAATAATTAAAGTTTTAAACTTTTTGAAGATCCTGTATAAGTCCACAGGCATGGCGGGGTAGAAAAATGACTTCACTACCTGATTTTATATATTTTAAATCTGTAGCCTATGTATTATTGTCCATCTTGCTCCACTGGAATGTAAGCCCCATTGGGGGGGGGGGGGGCTTTGTTTTATTCACTGCTGTATCACCAGCCCCTGGGATGATGCCTGATACACAGTAGGGGCTCAATAAATATTTGTTGACAGGATGAATGATAAAGTACATCCATATGCTGAGGTACTAAACAAGTTCATGTATCAGAAAGGCCTGGTGACCTAATGTTCTCCTTGGTCAGTCAAGCAACCTGCTTCATCCTACAACAATTTGCTCCTGTCCTTCAGATCTCCCTCAGAGAGGTGCTTTTATCCAGTACCTTGGAGGACATCTTTGCTATGGGGCATTTCAAAACAAAAACAAAAACAAAAAAACAGAGAGAGAGTCTCCACAGCATAAAGATCTGTCCTGTAGCTCAACCTTTACATAAATGTGATCTTGGCAATTTTAAAGGTAAAAAGCTTTGATGGGCCTGGGATGGAGTCAAAAGAAAACAAAAATCACTAAACTTGAGTCTGGAATCAAGCTTGGTTTATTGCTGACTCTATAAACTAGGGTAAATCACGGCTGCAGAACAGCAGCAGCTAACGTCTCCTAATAACTTAGCTTATGCCAGGCACGGTGTTAAATGCTTTTCCATGGATTACCCATTTCATCTTCACTACAACTCCTTCAAGTAGATATCAACATCAGCCTGGAAATAAGGAAACCAAGGTTCCGAGAGGTTCACTTTTTTTTTAACCCCCGCAATGGCTTTATACTACATCTGACCTATATGCCCCAGCACCCGGCCACTCCACGTCATAAACCTGAGTCTTCATGTTCTTGGCTATAAAAAACTGAGGCAAAGCCCACCTCCCCGTGGCGGTTACGGGCACTCGAGCCCCTCCCACACACCCCCACCCTGCCCCATCTGCCTGCCGCCTGCTTGCCTTCCAAGCCTAAAACAGTGCGATATTTACGTGACCTGGTGGCCTGAAAAGTGAAATGGGAAAGCTCTAGAATGGGTGCAGGTGGGACCCTGGCCGGGCCTCTCCAGTCACCCTCTGAACTGCCCTTTCCGGAAGAGTTCGCACTTGGGACGCCAGAAAGCAAAGAAAAGCGGAGAAATTTCCCAATGGTCCCAGAGGCCGGCGGGCGCCAAGGCAGTTTTCCACTTTCTGAAGATTTGAAATGAAGCATAACCCAGAGCGGAGCCCCACGTTGCCCCGGGGGCGGGACGGATGAAGCCACCGCCTCCTCTACCCCCCGCCCTGCAGAACGACGCGGGGCCGCCCGCTCTGGTCGCTAGGGACAGCAGCACTGAGGCCTCGCGGGGCAGCCTGGGCAGGCGGAGTCGCTCCTCCCCACCCTCCAAATTCCGGCCCCAACCCGGCCCCACTCGGTCCTCACGGAGGTGGCCGGGCCACGGCGCCGTTCCTCGCCTAGGTCCAGCAAGTCCTCCATCACTGCGGCCGCCTGACGTCACTTCCTGGAAACCTACCTGCCCCTTGGCGTCCCTGACGATGGCCCCGCCCTTCCGTCCTTGTATTTAAAGGATCGCGGCACGATTTCTGAATTCTCTGTGCCACCCTCCAAGTTAAATATTTCGTAAACCTGCCTCATTTGACTTCCAGAAGAAACCCCCAGGCATTACATATCACTAAGGCTGCTCCTGTGGGACAGCGAAAAAACATTTATCCTTTTTTGAATGCATAAGTTATTATGTAAATGCAAAGCACCACTACTAATAGTAGTAATTATTCTGATCGCTCCCATTGTATTTGCAATGCACAGAGGACCTTCACCACTTATTAGCTCACGTGAAGGGTATAACAACCTTGTGTGGGAAGCAAGATAAGTTGCATTGTCTCCAGTGGACGGTCTCCAGAAAACAGGCTACCGAGGACCAGGTGTTAATGGTTTAAAACGGAAAATACAATGTATATTATATAATCTCTGCCTTCAAAAAATTTGCAAAGAGGCTGAACCAACACATCAAATACCTGAATAGTAATAACTGTCAAAAATCCAATAATTCCTCTAACAACCTCTAAAATAAGCAGCAGCAATATTCAACGATTCAACGAGGACACGGGTGCAAAGCGATGGCTTGAGGAAAATCATTAAGCAGCAGAGCCAGGAGCCTTTCTAACACCATATCTTCCTGGGGTATTTTTCTTCAGCATATATTATGGGGTGCCAGCCATTCCGCTATGCCAGTAAAGGAAGAGATCCCCCAAATATTCAGTGTGGGGGAAAAAGAAGTTTTTCTCTACCATTCTAGGTTCCCTCAGCTGGTCTAACAATCAAGTTGACATGAGACAGATTAACAAGAGAAAATAACCGAATTTAATTATGAGAATCCCACATATATGAGTCAGAGACCCCATATACATGAGAAGTTCAGAGACAAAAAGGGAAAATAAGGTACATGTGACATTCTGACCTAAGGATGAAGTAAGGCACCTTGGGACTTCAGAGGGGACAAACATCATTTGCAGGAATAGAAGGCAAATGTTCAGTAATTAGAAGTTTGCACTGCCCTTTAGACAGATATAGATAGATAGATAGATAGATAGATAGATAGATAGATAGATAGATAGATAGATAGATAATTATTTCTGGTGATAATTCTTATTATGGGTAAGGCCTCTAATTTAAATTCTTTAAGGGAGAAGTAAAAGTTTATCATGAGCCCTGGCTGGTGTGGCTCAGTGGATTAAGTGCTGGCCTGTGAACCAAATGGTAACCAGTTCAATTCTCACTCAGGAAACATGCCTGGCTTGTGGGCTGGGTCCCCACATCAGGATGTGCAAAAGGCAACCACACACCAATGCATCTCTCCCTCCCTTGCCCCCTGCCTAATCTTCCTAAAGGGACCCTTCCTGCCTAAAGGGTCTCCATTGTCTTTAGCTCAAAATAATTTACATGTCAGAGTGGCACATCTTGGGGAGGCCTCTTCTAAACTCCTATAAAACCAGTGTAATGGGGCAGGCAAGTTGAGTTTTCACTGACTCTCCATATAAGATCCCCAAGTCAACACCACTGACTCTGTCCTTGGAGCTCTGTCCCTGGTCATCTGGGACTCCCAGATGATGCTCGAGTGGCCCTCAAAGTGAGCAATGTTTCCAATATCACCCTCGGTGTAAGACCTAGATGGCCACTGTTTAAAAGCAAGGACCTCGAAGTGTGACTAGCACCCCTGAAAGTCAATTGCAAGCATTTCTGAAATGCCCAGTAAATGACTCAGTTTAATCAGTCATCATCCACACATTTACTGGGATGCACTGTGACAGCGACAGCGACAGTGTTGCGGAGGTGCCAGGAGAATTGAGGTCCCAGCCCAGCTCTGCTGATAACCACCTGTGCAGCCAGGCAGAGCCTCTCTGGACCTTGGTTTCCTCCCTCGTACTTACTCCTCGAGGTTACCCCTAAACTCTTTGACTTACTAACTCTGATTCTCAGTGAGAAAACCCTATTAGATTTTAATCTGAAGAAACATTCATTGCCAAAAACCCCAAACAAGAAATACAAGCTCCCACAAATCCGTTGTTCCTTTCTTCCTTGGCGCGAGAAGAGAAAGAAGGAATTAATCTTTGGATTTTTAATTCGTTCCTTGGGGACTCATAGCCACACCACCACCACCACCTTATAACGGGTTTCCAAACCTTCACTCCCACTTCCTCCCAACCTGCTGAAGGCAAAGGTGGACTGCAGCTCACTCCAGGCAGAAAGAAGCCCTAGCGCAGTGGTTCCCAAACCGTGCTGGGCACCGGACTCACCCGTGAGGTGTGTTTAGAAAACATACAACAGGACCCCATTCCTGGAGACTGATTTAGTAGAGGTGGGGTCCAGAAGAATATGACTTTAGTCATTTTCCTGCCTATTTTGCAAGTGTTTGCTTAAAGGCCTCCTGAAGGCCTTCTGATTTAAAATTCCAGCATCTATTTTTGCAACATTCCAATGTCGCCCCGACCTAGGCGCTGCCTATCCGCCTTTCCTGTTTTATTTTCTACCGTGGCACTTACCTTTTATCATACTACATAATTTACATATCTATGTACATATCTTTACTATTCCACCTTTAGCTCCAGAACGGAAGCTCCATGAGGGCACCGGTTTTGTTTGTTTGTCGTGTCCGCTGCTGTATGCACAGAGCCTAGAACAGTGCCTGGTATGTGGGTAAACATCAAGAAATATTTGTTCAAAGGCTGGGTGAATTTCAAAGGCAGTACAGCCGGCATAAGTAGTTATAAACTCACAATAGACTCTGTGCAAATATCGGTTGACACATCCTGGCTAGGGGACCCCAAGGAAGCTACTTCTACACCTAAGTGTCCTCATTTGTTATGCAAATGACAATGCCTACCCAAATCGGAGAGCCTGTGTAAAACATTGCCTCTATCCCCCACGGGCAGTGTGGCCTTTTAAATTGCTCCCTGCCTCAGTTTCCTCAACTGTAAACCGATCCACCGCTGTCCCCGGGATTCAGTAAACATCTCCTTCAGTTAGTAGCCCGGGAGCCAGGAGCAGAAGCCAGGCCGGGCTGGATAAGTCCAGGAAGCTGGGGTGAGGCAGGGTGGGGTGGTAGGGAGCAACACTGACTACCAGGAAAGTGATTCCATGTTACAGAGGCCAGTCCTGTGTGGGTCCTCTCCTGGGAAAACACTTAGGAGCTTAGGCTGAGAAGAGGAAGGAAAACAGAGAGAAAACTTCCCCTCACCCATCTGGGAAATGGGCTTCTGCCAGCTGCAGACTGCGTGCTCGCTGGCAGTGTGCCCCGCGGAACCCCCGGCGGGGCGGGAGGCTGCGAACATCTGGAGGAGGTTTCTGCGAGAGCGGCTGCAGTCAGAGCAGGGCTCGGGGGAGGGAGAGGTGCACTTGTACGCGCGTGGGGCTGAGAGGGGAGGTATTCCCCGAGGGCTGAGGGCTTGTGTCCTTCTGCCCCTCCCGAAGTTCTCTCTCCGGGAGCCCATCTGCAGCCTGAAGCCCTCCCGGCCTTCCCAGCTCCGACTGGCTGAGCCTCTGTCACTGGCGGTCTCGCCTCGCCAGAGGGCACCCTCGATCTGCCGGAAAACGCCATTTTCAGCGCCCCTGGAGCATCTCCAAGCTTCAGCAAAGCTGCCTGACTCCAAGCTTGTCAATGAAGAATCCGGGCCAGGATGGCCGCGGAGCTGGACCCAGCTACTCCGAGCCTGCTCCAACCCCGAGCGCCACCCTCCAGCGAGGGCGGCACGGCCGCTGCCCAGGCCCCGCGCTCCCGACCCTGCCCAAGGCTCGGCCTGGCCCGGGAGGGGGCGGCCAGGGAGGCAGCCCAAGACCAGCCCAGCAGAGGACGGACTGACAGCTGTGGAGAGGGAGAAGGAGTTGCGGGAGAGGAGGGAGGGGATTCACCGGAGTAACTTTCCAGAAAAACAGTCAACGTGTAGCAGGAGTGACTCCAAGAGGAGGAAAAAAGTTCAGTTACCACGTCGAAAGAGAGGACTCGCAAAGTATTTTTCAAACGGGCTCGGCTTTTCCTGCGCCTGGTTAACACATTAAAACGGTGCAGCAAAAAGAGGCTGCGTGCGCTGGTCCCTCCCTCCCCCACCCCGGACCAGAGACGTCATCGGAGGGAGGTATAAAATTTCAGCAGAGAGAAATAGAGAAAGCAGTGTGTGTGCATGTGTGTGTGTGTGAGAGCGAGAGGGAGAGGGAGAGAGAAGCAGGAGGCAGAGAAAGGGAGGGAAGACGAAAGCCAAGTCCGAGGGAATGAGCAAGGGAGGCGAGAGATAGGGGAAGAAGCATGCGAAAGAAGGAAAAACAGCTTTCCGGAGCAGGCGTGCAGTGAGCTGGCTTCTATTTTATTTTTCTTCTCCTTTTTTATTTTTTAAAAGGGAAGCAGGGAACAGAAGCGATGGCCGAGGGAGAAGACAAGCCGAGGTGCTGGTGACCCTGGGCGTCCAAGTGGATTGTTGGGGCTGCTCTACAGGGGCCTGTCCTCTCTGCCTTCCAGTCGCACATAACCCCACATCCCAGCCAAGGAAGACAAGAGGCAGCGTGAACAAAGTCATTTAGAAAGGCCCCAAGGAAGTGTAAACCAAAGAGAAAGCATGAATGGTGTGCCTGAGAGACAAGTGTGTCCTCCGCTGCCCCCACCTTTAGCTGGCTGTCAGCGGCCCAGCCCGGCCTCTCCCCACCTACTCACTGGTGATCTGAAATTTTTTTAAGCATTTTTTTTCCTCTTCTTTTCCATTCTCTTTTCTTATTCTCCTTCAGGGCAAGGCAAGGATTCTGATTTTGGGACCCAAGCCATGGTCCTTCTGCTCCTTCTTTAAAAAACCCACTTTCTCCCCATCGCCGAGCCGCCTTTGGCAATATCAGATATCTGCTCTATTTATTTTTACCTAAGGAAAAACTCCAGCTCCCTTCTTACTCCCAGCTGCCTTGCCACCCCTCTCAGCCCTCTGCCTGCCTTCCACCTGGCCTGCTGG